GTTTATATTTCTGATTCTATATGTTAATGATATTTTAATTGCTACTAATGATCTTGGCTTATTACATGAGACCAAGAAATTTCTCTTTAAAAATTTTGAAATGAAAAACATGGGTGAGACATCCTATGTAATTGAAATTGAAATATTCTGTGATAGATCATAAAGATTGTTAAGATTGTCTCAAAAACATATATTAATAAAATTTTAGAAAGATTTAAAATGAAAAAAATGCTCTGCAAGTGTTGTTGCAATTAAAAAAGAAGATAAATTGAGCCTTATGCAATGCCTAAAGAATGAATTGGAACATAAACAAATGGAACAAATTTCTTATGCATCTATTATTGAAAAGCTTAATGTATGCCCAAACTTGTACTAGACTAACATTAGCTTTAGTGTCAGAATCTTATGCAAGTATCAAAGTAATCAAAGATTAGATTATTGAAAGACTGCAAAAAAAAAGTATTAGGATACTTGTGAGGAACAAAAAATCACATGCTTACTTTTAGGAGGTCCGATTATCTTAAGGTGATAGAATATTCAATTTCAGATTTTGCTAATTATGTGGATACTAGAAAATCAACATTTGACTATTTGTTTCTTTTAGCTAATGAAGCGATCTTATAAAAAAGTGTAAAGTAGTCTGTCATTGCTATATCCACTATAGAAGCTGAGTTTGTGGCATGCTTTGAGGCCACTGTTTAAGGTTTATGGTTGTGAAACTTTATTTCAGAACATGGAATTGTCGATAATATTGCTAAGCCACTGAAAATTTGTTGTGATAATGTCACAGCCATCCTTTTTTTGTTTTTTTCTAAAAACAACAAGTATTCAAAGGTGCTAAACACATGGAATTGAAATACTTTGGCATTAAAAAAGAAGTTCAAAAACAAAGAGTGTCAATTGAACACATTAGCACCAATCTTATGGTTGTAGATTCGTTAATAAAAGGTTTGCCACCAAAGATATTTAATGAATATGTCAAAAGAATGAGCATTATTGAAAACCATTATTAATATTATGGTAAAGTTTTATCTTCTTTATGAATTTGACACTCTGAGTTCTTTTAAATATTATTTTTGACATATTAATGCATCTTATTCCATTATGTGTGTGTGTGTGTATATATATATATATTACTGAATTATGAAATATGGACAAGATTTGTCTCTAACAAAGACATTATTAGAAAATTATGACATCTCTCATTCAAGGTCCTGTAGAGTATAGAGCTAATAATGTGATAAATAAAAGGGATTATGTTGAGCTAATGACATATAATTGCTATGATCTTTATTAATTTTTGCTTAATGATGATTTATAATTTAAGAAAAGATTTAACTTATATTATGCGCATTATGTTTTATTATTAAACCTTAAAGTTGAATAATTTCACGTACAGTGGGAGAATATTAGATATTATTAGTAATGTTCCATTATCCATCCTTAAGTAAACATTTTTTTGATTTTATTTAAAAGATATTAATGGATTAATAATTATTATGTTTAAAAATATCATTTTGATCAATAAATAAATGAAAAGATTTTGTTTCATTTATGAAATAATGAATTAATGCAATTAATGTACAAAAGTAAATTTTTGTTTAAAATTTATATAGTGATGGAACGTATAAATTGAATAGCATTAATTAATGAAAGAAATTAATTCACTCTCTGTACCTATAAATTGATATATTCTGTATATAATATTAAAAAAAGGTTTGTAAAACATTAAAAGGTCAAAAAAAAATGTATATACATATTAAAAGAAGTTATAATGGATTAAAGTATGATTTTTTTTAATTAAAAATTTATGAAAATTATCTTATTTTAAGACCTTAAATATTAAATTACGTAAAATAATAACAAAAATCTAACAAGAAATTGCGACCTTAACAATAAGTAATACATTCAAAACAACAACACATAACATTGGCGGCCCAACTTACCTACCAATCCCTCTTCCATCCGATGGATCCTCTCTCGCATATATATCGAGTTGCTCCAGCATAAAAAGAAGAGGTCTTTTTTTTTTTGGTTTTAAAAAAGAAGGGAAAGGAAACAAAACATTAAGGCAGATATGATCAGTCGCTGGAAAAAGTTGTAAAACTTTGGGAGTTCTTAAGGCAGGGATTGTCGTTTTCCGACAGACTTTGGGCAGAAGCGGAGCTGGCAGACTTTTAAAGCCAACAGCAACTGGGTTAACACTCTGACGCATTGTTGCTGTCATTTGTGCAGGCTTTCGTATGAAGGTTGTTGGGTACTTGGTGGAGCTTGTTTACTGGTTGGGTCAGTTGGTCCTCTGTACAATTAGTTCATGGCTTATGTCAATTTTTTTTTTTCATCAAGGATGACTCGGAATTAGGAAAAAAAAACTAATTATTGGGTCAACTTAATATCTTTGGGTGATGTGCGTGAAAAGTACTTCACTAATTCAATTAACATTAAATTTTCTTCCTCACGAGTGGTACAGGAGAAATTTGCAGTATCTTAAAATAATCAACGAATGAATGAATCAATTCGATTCAATATGGTACATTAAAAAGAAACATATGAGTAACATCAACCAGGTCACCAGCATCAGCTCTAGTCATGACATTAATCTTCACGATCAGGCATGCCTGGTGTTGTTGTTAGACATGGCATTTGAAGAAAATTTCTTGAAACGGGTTGGGGCTGACCTGATCCAACTCGTGCCACCAATCATGTTCTTTGTCAAGAAAGGTTCGGCCTCCTTGCCTGTCAGCTCTTGTGCCCATTCAACCCTTTTCTTTGTATCGGCTCCGGGTCCATAACATTTGTATTCTCTACAGAAAACCGAGCTGCAGAATGAAGAAACCAGAGGCAGGATATATAATTACACATATTAGTTCAGTTTCACAAATTTTATTATAATAATTAAGAGAGAAATGAAAAAGATTTGAGTATCTTTTTTTGGTTGCCTTTGTTTTGATGAGTCCCCCCGGTCATCCCACCCCTGGGGTAGAATCACATTAGACATATAGCTAAGGGCAAAAACGACCCTGGAATATGAACCCCATGCCCTTCACAGTAAAGTAGTCCTAACACCAGTGATCTTGCAAGCCAAGAAAATGAAGCCTGTGTCCTCTGAAGGTGACTCCCTGCGTTGGGCTGTGATGGCCGCATCTCCTTCTGAGAGTGAATGCAAATGACGCCTCTGCATAATTCCCAAGAGAAAACCATCTGTAAATTGTTCACTGTCCAGATAGTTTACAGCTAGCAATTACTAGGATTTATTGGCATGCATATTTGTATCAGGTTACCTCAAAAAGAGAAGCGGCATTCCCGCAAATGAAGTCGACGGTACCTTCAATGTAACAATTGCTGTAGTAGTGTCTTCCAGTGTCATCCACCAAGGTATCCTGATAGGATAAGATCCCGCATCCGAGGAAAGCTACCCTTTCTCCAGATACCCTCAATGCTACTGCTTTGGCACCAGCTCCATACGTATTCTATAAATGAAGACCCAAAAAAAAAAAAAAAATCGTCGATTAATTGTCTTGATTTGCCATTATGTGGTCGATTAATTTCTCCCTTCCATTTAATTTCATACCTGAATAGTTAGGTATCGGGCAACAAAATCAGAAGTCAACACAGAGAAGGTAGGAGATTCAAAAATATTCCCACTATCATTCCAAGTTATTATAGTGCCATTTGCATTTGAACCACTTATTGTAATGAAGGGCTTGTCCGCAGGCACAACAATCTTTTCTTCGTAGATACCAGGTTTAACCAATATGAATACGACTTCTTTGTTACTGGATGGCACGGCGTCAATGGCATCTTGTATTTTCCTGTGGTCTCCCTTCCCTGCTGGATCAACTGTTATGAGTATGCCTTCGGCAGCGTCTGATTGATGACTAGCCATAAATATGATCAATAAAGTTATGAGAAAGACACAGGCGTAGCTACAATTATAACCAGGAGCCATGGTTGGCAATTCTCGATCGAGGTGGCGAAGTAAATTAAGGAAATTCTACGATTGGTTTATGATGAACAACTTAAGGTTGTTCTTTTATATGTATCTGGGCCGATTTCTTGCCATTGAAGTGTGATATTCTACTTTATACATCAATTTCAAGCAAGCCAGTATACATTATATCAGAAAATGGTAGAGGGTAGCCCCCAACACAAGTAACCGGTAAATGGAGATTTGGAGGAACTCCGTAGCCCATAGCCGCCGCTGATTTTGTTATGGGATTTCTAGTTTCATGATTAGATTAGCTTTTTTGACAGGGCCTGAAGAATAAAAATTTGCATTGCATTAAAAATAGTTCTATAGCCCCTGTACTTTTAAAAAATTAAAATAAAAAATTTCCATTATTATTTAAAATTAATTTTTTTTACTATAACAAATCGTTACACAAAATAAAAATTTACTCATAAAACGCAAATTCTATCACGGGGAAGACTCCCACCACCGTCTCAAATGGAGTCTTATTTAGCCGCAATTTAAAGGAATTGATGAGCTCAGCAGCCGCTTAAAGCAATCTCTTCAGATAAACGCTACAAATGTTTGATTAAGAAAATGAGTGGATTAAGCTCAGCTTAATCCAAAGTTCTAATAATATGGTCATATTCATTTAAAACAACTCATGAGATAGCTTAAAAACTACCCATAGCTAAGTCCTACTCTGTTCAAATTCATTGTTACTATCAATTTAAGAGAATGGGGAATGTAATCTTTGTTTGAATGGTTAGGTTTGACCATGGCTTCGCCGCTTTCCTTTTTCTGTCAAGTGGATGCTGTCCAATTGTCCGTTAATCATTTGCGAGCTTTGGCTTAATTTTTGTCCATAGTTTTCTGCACTTATTTTTGGGTCTTGATGGCCTCGCTTGTTGTTGATGTTTGGGCCGATGGTTAAGGTCCAACTTGGTCTAAATGTGAGTACCGAAAAAGTTCCCAATTCAAAATTTTATCCGAGTTAGATCAAGTCAACTTCGATATTTGAATAGGTCTAAATTGAAATAAATATCTTAAATTCAAGTTATATTTCTTTTCTTTTTTTTAAATTTTCTTCAGAAAAAGATTTAAACTTATTCTTTGAACTAAGAATATATGTACTTAACATTGAAATACTAAATCGAGTATTCAAATGCATCTTAATTTTATCCTTTGTATCAAAAACAAGATTTTGATTTTGATCATCCTCATGCCAAACTCAACGCAACACGGGATGAGCTAGGAGTGCGACTCTGAACATGGTATATAATACGTTACCATCTAATTTAAATCCCAAATGTATGTTTATATACTTGCTCTTCTATCAATTGAGAATTCTTTTCGATCGATGTTGATCTCGTGTTGCGTTCGTTTGCATTGTTTACTTGAATTCGGTTCGTTTAAGTCTTTATCATAGTCAACTTCATCAATTTGTTCAATCATATTACGGTGGTTAGACGATGAACCATCACCATAATTTGGGTGGGAAAGGGACGGACAATCCGTGTCCGATTGCTCGATATCAAAATTCGATCTCCTCTGGAGGCTGTCCATTTCGCTGCTCCGGTGGCTTCTCAAGAGTTGAACCGGGGACGTGTGATGTGATGGGGTGTTTGGTCTGCTAGAGAAAGTGCCCTTGTTTTGTTTGAGGTGTTTCTTAGCCATGTGGTGCCAATTCCTTAGAGCTGTGGCTACCCTTTCGTTGAAAATGGTTGGTTTCATGTTCGAACCCATCTGATCATAGCAAAAATTAATCAAATGACATGATTGAATATATAATTACAATATTATTACTTGGAATGTTGAAAATATAGTTTATGGTCAATGTATGTTTTTCCTATTACCTGTGTAACAAGGGCGTAAAGAGGAAGAGTGACGTAGCTGCAAAGAATTTGAACGAGGACCCTATATATAATAAAAATCAATAATATTATAGCACATGTCATATTTTTACTGGTTAGTATATTTGTCAAATCAGTATTTGTAATGATGTAAAATACTTCACAGAAACAATAATTGGGTATTTGATCATGATTTTTTTTTCTATAGGTACCAAATCATTAAAAGTAATATAGTTTAGGGACCAAATTATATATTAATCCTAATTAATTCTAATAATATTTTCCATAGCCATGGATGGCTGATGAGATAATTCGAGTTCTTACCCCATTGTAATTCTGATGACTATATCTTCCACATGCTTATGGAAGCAAGATTTTAGTCCAAAATCATACTGAATTCAGAAACAAAGACGAGTAAGTTTTATTAGAAAATCGTACTTGTTGACCAAAAATCAGTAGGAGAAAAGAGGCATGAAATGTACCCAAGTCCATGCAAAGAATGCAAGCTGGAAAGCATTCTACAATAAAAGAAAGATCAGAACTGTCAGCAGAATATATATATATATATATATATATGATTTTGTGAGCCTAAAATAAAGTATAGTAGAAGAAAAAAGAAATAATACCTGGAAAAGAACGAAGTTGATAAGAAAGAGAATGAATCGGGGGCGGTTGAACCAGAAAAGGTCATCACCAGGCTGAACGACAGGCACTCCTCTCACCACCTCTCCTCTCTCCTGAATTCTTATCCCCATTTTGGTTATGATCACCTGCAGCTTTGTTCCCACTAGCAGGATGATCTGCAGGTTTAACCCCAAATCAGAGCCGTTTAGCTTATCCACCCAACAATTGATCATAAGAGATAATGGTGTTTTAATGGGTAAAATGTCAGAAGATAAGATTCAAGAGATTAATTAATTTTGCTTACAATCAAAGGGATAAATGGCAGCCACAGATACGAATACCATCCTGTACCACAAAATAAACAATATGAACACTATTTGAGTCAAAAAGCCGTCTCCCAAACCTTCGAGTATTGGTATTTGAACAAAAAATGATTGACTCGTGCATTAAGGAGTTTTTGTTCCAATGAATTGTGTAACTTACGAAGAAAGTTTTTTAACTGAAAAATCAGAGTTTTCAGAGAGATCAAAAGTGTTACTCACCATGTGTGTTAAAGAGTAGGAAGAGTACAGCAGAAAACCATATTGGAGGACTGGAAAATTAATTAAAAAGAAAAAAGTGTCAATCTATAATGTTGTAAATTGATAAGAACAAGATTGAGAAAATTGAGTATAAAAACAGGAAATGGATAAATTAAAAAAGAGAGATAAGTCCTGAAATTAGTTACCTGATTCCTACAACAACTTTGAAATCTTCTTCCAATGATCTATTTATGTATTTTTGGAAATCAAACATGGTTTGGCTTTGGGGTGCCAAATGTGCCTGCGAAAATAAAATTTGAAGCTTGTATATTAATTAGTGCAATATTTTTAAAAAATGAAAAGTTAGGCTTCTAAAAATGAAATATAAATAACAAATAATGTATATCAGAAGAGAAAAGAAGGAATTAGTATTTAGTTACCATGATAAATCCATGTCGGAGGGTCACGTAATCAACTTTAGGGACTGACCTAACAAATTGTCTAAAGAAACAAACCTGAAAAAAATGCAAGCGACAAATTAGTGTGAGATTGAAAAAAAAATGTAAAAAAAAAATATAAAATTTGCATTTAAAAGAATAAAGGAATTAATCCCATTATTTTGTTCATTAAAGATGATATAATAAAAATAGCTATGGAATATAAAGTTACAAAGATGAAAAATAATAGTTTTTCTTTAGAATGTTCATAAAAATATATAAATATATATTTCCAAATTAAATATTAGTACTGGACAATCATGAAATTAACACCATCATCTTAAACAAATATATTAAATCATATTTCAAGTCTTTGTTAAATTACCATACATAAAAAATTAAACAATATCAATTAATTGGTAACTATTTTTTTTTTTAAAAGAGCTTACAATATGAAAATAAGAGAAGAAATAGTAGGTGTTAGAATTTTAATTTCAGACTTATTATATGTTATTTTTTTTAAGAATAATTACTTAAATCAATTAAATTAAATTTTGGGTTCATTGCTAACTATTTTGAAACATGAAATAATTACAGTAATTATAAAACTAGAAAGTTACATAATTAAGTTGTATTATATTATTTGGTAGCTTATGATCATTGGGCTTAGGGTTGTTATGCATTAAATGATTAAAGTCAAATTATAATATATATTCTTTATAATTAAAAAATTATATATGCATATAATAATTAAAAAATTAATTATAATAAATGGGGAATTTAAATAATATGGAAAAAAAAGTTTTTTCATACTTTAGCATATCATGTGAATTAGTAGAACAAAGAGTGCAAAAATTGTGTTTTCCAAATCTAATCCTTTCTTTACAAAGATAGTTCACAATCTTATACTGCATTTTTTTTTACCCAAAGAAGAAATTCATGTTAATAAAAATAGAATTGAGTAATTTTTTCCTCAAATAGTTCTGGCATTTTTCTTTAAATAATTAACTTGAAAATAAAAAAGCTATAAATTTTTTTGCCAAATTAAATTATATTTCGACCACTATTTCTAATATTTATGTGTTAGTGAGAATTCAAATATGAGAATATGCTTTCACAAAGCCTTTTTAGGGGCAAAAACATTTTTTTTTCTTGAATTAATATCTTAAAATGAAAATATTTATTTTTTATATTTAAAATGATTAAGATTTCAATTTTGATCATTGAAATTAAAGGAAAACATCTTTATATTTATATATAATATATTTGCATAAAAGGTAAAAAAAGAAAATCATGGTAATTAGTAGTTTTTGCTTGCATTGGCAATGAGAATTATTTTACCAAAAGAAAATAATTAAACTAAAGAAACTAAAAAAAAAGAGAGAGGGTAAAAAGTTTCTCACAGTCCACATAAGAACTGGGGTTTTGGTCCAAAATCGCAAATGCCTTCTTCCAAAGGATGTTTCCCTTGCAAATCTGAATCGTTCCGGATCTGCTCAAATACCACCATCACTATCGCTTATAAGTAATAACCACTGGAAAGTTTGGTTAGACCACTTCATAAGCAAATTTAAGTAAATTTTGATTAAAATAATAACAGGAGATTTAAATTTATTGTCATATTAAATTCAAATTTAATGTGACATTTAATAAATTTATATTCAAATTTAATTACCTACAATCATTTTTTTATCTCATATTACCATTTTTTTAAAAAATTATTATCATACTTATCATTTTAGCTTTTGTTAAACTTAATTCTTCCTAAAAAACCTCTCATTTTCTTATATTTTCCTTTTCTTCAAAGAAAATCAGGTAAATCAATTTAAAAATGAATAATAAATCCTACTTATAAATTTCTCTTCCTTTTTTTGAGCTCGTATATAATTTTATATAATAATGCGATTGAGCCTGAAAAGACCACTGTCAATGAAAATGTTTATTAAGATCAAAATCTTTATCACATATATAATATATAAATAAAATCAAAGATTAAATTAAATCGCGTGCATGCATGGACCACGTTTCAATAAAGTACATGTAGTATATTATCTAATTGTTATAATCTGCACTGACCGTGTGAGAACTGGTATTCGCTAGTTCTACTTTCCTTTTCCCATTTCTTCCAACTTCTCATCTAAAAAAAAAAAAAACTCCAAATTAAGTATCAATACAAATATATATATTTCAAAAAATTATATTCGAGCATTTGATTCAATACAAAAATTATACTTATATTTTATGAATAAAAAAATTAACTCAAATCTCAAAATTTTTTAAATAACATAGAGAGTTTAATTATATAAATAGAAGTATAGTAGGACAAGTATTTTGAGAATACCTTGGCTCTGCCCAATGCCATTGTAAGAATACAGTAAAGGACATGAAAAACAGCTAGCACGAAAATGAAAATGTGGAGTTGGTGGATACCATTCGAAGAAACAAATGGCACTTTACCCTGCATATATTTAGTATATATAAACAAATTAAGGAACCCAGTCACTTTATTAAAATAATAAAAGAACACTTATACCAAGAAATGGTATCAAGTATCAAATCATGTGATATGACAGGGAATTTTCTAAGCCTTTTTTTTTTTGGTAAATCGGTTAATTTTTGTAAGCTTGTGCAAAAATGGATGGTTTTCAATTTTTGGACGTAGGGCAGAAAATTTTGGTTATTTGTATATTCATATATACCTGAGCTGCACATCTGTCATCTGAGGCTCCGGCTAATGAACGCCGGAAAACTCTACCGGTATCCGATATTGTCAGAAGTCTGCGGCGATGCCTGCTATCTTGATCAACTCCATTAGTTTTCTCTTGTTTCTTATTACATGGATGCCAAGTATTTCCAACTTTCTCTGATATGCATATATTTGATATTAAACCTTGTCCTACTGTTAGGAGCAAGGATATAAATCCCAGCAACATAAGCTCTACCACCAAAAGAAACATAAAAGAGATTAGTTTTTATCTTAACCTTTACATTAGTTCATTAATAATGTCTAAAAACCAATGATAATTGGATATTTGTTGGGTTAATTTTAAGTAAATTTGTTAATTTTAAATATGATACGAAAATTATACTTAAAAAAAAATGAAAGCAACAAGTTTAAAATTTTAACAAAATAATATATAAATATTTGACAAAAATTTAAATATATATTTTATATTTAATGTTTTAACACAATATAACAGAACAATTTTGTATCTTACAAAACATATACAAAATACATGAATTACCAATCTAATTTTACCTGACTTAATCTTTTCAAGTGCTTCATAAAGTGCTCGTTTATGTTTCTTCTTTAACCACTGTAAAAAGGAGCAAAGAAATTATTAATTTTTGGAGTTTAAACTTTGATTAAAAGACCAACTGGAAAAGAAAACCTATAGGATCATACCTTTCCTATCAGATGGATTATATGTTCAATGATTATTGAAATCAGAACCAAAACAAAACAAACTACAGCAACAGCCCATGTTGGTGTTTCCTCCAAAGACCTTCCTTCACTTCCTCCAGCCATGTTTGCTTTTCCAACTTCAAACTTCTGATAAACCCTTTTTAAAATGTGTTACCCAGATTGAATTAATGAATAGTACTCTATATTCACTTCGAGCTTATAGAACAGCTTCTGCTACAAAATGGAGTGTAACCTTTCAAAACAATGACGGGTTTTTAATGAAGTTGACAGTCCTTTTCTCAGTTCATTTCTTTCCCTATTTAAAAAAAAAATCAAAGAAAGTTGCAGAGAGGAAAGAAGCGTAGAAGGGACAAGTTGATGAATTTGACTTTGAGAAATGAGAACGCGTGAGAGAACCAACGGAAAGAGAGAAAATAAAAATAAATAATTAAGGATTTGATCAAATGATTCAAACCAACAGATTTCTTGGACCATATTGAAAAAATAGCTTATTAATTTGGATTATTATGTAATCACCGTTGATCACTTACCTGAGACAACTTCCCTTTTTTATGTAAAAAACTAGTTGTATGCTTTTCAATTTCCTACCATTTGATTTTCAATCCAATGGTTGAGTGAGACCTTCACATTGCATAACTAGCTCATCGAGTTATTTATTGATTTGACCTTGTGGCCACGACGATTTCATTTATATAACATTTTTTTGGATTGATGATTAATTATTTATGATTAATAGAAATCATGTTTGTTAATTATTTGGATTGATTATTCAATTTTAATTGCAATATAGATTTATATTATTTCTTGTGATCAACATGGTCATTATATTTTCAAAATTTACATATTAACACAGATATATAGATAAATATATAATACACAATTTAAATTACTAATAAAAGAAAAGTTATATTCAAAATCTGAAATTTAATTCAATTTATTTGTACAATTATTTATAAGAGGTAACATCTCATAAATCTAAAATTCAAATATTAACCTCTACAACTCCTTTTATATTTCTAAGTTACAATCTCTCTTGACCAAAAAAAGTTATATTTACAAACGAAAACAATAATATTATAGTATATACATTTAAAATATTGAATTTTAAATATAATTTAAATTTGAAAGCTATATTCTAATTATTTGGTTTTTCAATAAATTAACGTCATCTCTCGTTGAACCATACTTATATACTAATACATTAAATTTTGAAAAAAAAAAAAAGAAAGAACGAATACAAAATGCTATAAAAATTAAAAGATAAAATGCCATAAAAATAAAATGTTAAAAGATATTGCTTTCAATTTTTTTTTCGCTTTTAATTGTCAGGACGCCCCAATCCAGTCTAAATATTGTAATTTAATTAAGACAAAAAGGTCAAAAAGTCTCTAAACTAAAATTTAATAATCATTCAAGTTTTTATTTTCTTTTCAAACAATTAAACTCTCAAACATTAATTTTCATCAATTAAACCCTTGTTAGAGAAAAAAATAATTAATTGTTTGCATCCAATTGAAGATTTAATTGAGTGAAAATAGATGAATAAAAATTCAATTTGATGAAAATAAATATTTAAGGGATTAACTGATTCAAAATAAGAAAATGTAGGGCTTAATAGATTACAATAAAATATCAAAAACTTAATTGATTATTAAATTTTTATTAGAGGGCTCTTTTAACGACTCTACCTTTAATTAATCCTTAGTATCTATTATTAATAATTTTAAAAGCAAAATTCATCAAATATTTTAAAATAATTTTAATTTATCTTATTATTAATTAATTTAATAACTACAAGGAAACCCAATAAACTATGAGGTCCCAGGTCCTCACATGCATCCCCCTTGTATCCGTCTATGTGATAGACATTGGTGAAAAAGAATGAATGCTAATGCAAATGGTGAGTTTGTTATGTAATTCTTAAAACTTATATATCAAAATTTTATTTTTGTTAATTGTAAAATTACTTTTAAAACCATTAAATGGTAATATTTTTGTTTGGTTATAATGAAATTTTTTGCATGATATATTTATTCATGTTTAGACTATTAAATTTAATGATCAAAATACATAAAATGAAAATATTTTGAATGTTGTAAACCTACTAAATTTAAAAACATATATATATATATATGTCTTCCATGAAATTAAAAAAAAAAAAACTTTGACGTATTTTGAATTAAAATTTTATTTTTTTATAAAATTGATAGCTTTTAATTTCAAAAAGTAAGAAAAAATCATAAAAATAATGTTAGAATATTAAAAAATTAAAAATATTATTTGTTCAAAAAAATAAAACCCATAATTTCAAAACATTCAAATAAAAAAAAATAAAAATGGATCGCTAGTAGAACAAGATTACATAACTGTGGGCACCTAGGCTTTAATTAATCTGCAATTTGTACCACCAAAGGAAAGAAATTAATTAAAGAACATTAAGAGTATTAAAGGAACTTAATGCTAGTAATTAACTATATATTTGAATAACATTAATAGAGTTAGAAAAGATCACGAAAGAGAAACGCAACCTATGTATTAAATTTGAATTTTAAATCTATTGAATGTCATCTTCTAATAATAATTTCATAAATTAGTTTAACTAAAATTTCATTTAAACATATAATTTTTTTCTAGGGATTTTTAGTCAAAGAAATTAGTATACAAATTGTGATTGAAATCTTATATAAATATATAAAAACTAAAATTTGACAAAAAATAAAAATATCTAATGTGGATAGCCTATAATATTGACATGTAGACAATCTTTATCAATCGCCATATATTTTGTATTAATTATATTTATTCGTATTTATTTCTCTTTAAATTTATATGAATTGATTTGATTTCATAAAAATTTTAAAATATTTCAATATATTAATTTTATTAATTATTTTTTAATTTTCAATTGACTTACCTTTTATTTCTAATAAAATATCTTAAATTGTAATCAAAGCTAAATCAATGATACATTATAATCAAAGAATTTCTTAATGAATTACAGAATTATATATACTATAATTATGGGCATTTAACATTTTTTTAATGATTCAAAGAACTTATATCAAAATCTAATTAGAAATGTTATAAAAAATTTAATAACTACTATAATTACAATCAAGAGTTGATTCTTTAATCAATTATTTGATACATTCATATTTGATTAAATATGATATCTAATTGAGTAATGAATGTTATTCATGTATAAATATATATAAAAATAATAGAGTTATTTTATATATTTGTATAAGATTAATGATATATTATAATGTTAGATTTTTGTTTTTGTTCTAAAATCAATAGTACATTATAATGTTAGATTTTTTATATATGGGTTGTGATCAATAAGTCATGCATCCTATCTTATATAAATACATAAAAGCCAAAGCTTTTGAAAAAATAAAAAATAAAAAAGGAAAGTGTCCAATGTGGATGACCTATAATATTGACATGTGAACAACCTTTATCAATTGCCACATCAACTGTATTAATCATATTTATTTCTCTTTAAATTGATATGAATTGATTTGATTTCATAAAAATTTTGAAATATTTTAATGCATTAATTATATATATTTTTATAAATTCTTAATTCACTTCTTGTATTTCCAATAAAATATCCTAAATTATAAATCAAAGCTAAAACAATGATACATTATAATCAAAGAATTTTTTAATGATTTTAAAAATTAATAAATACTATAATTACGGTCATTAAACATTTTTTTTAATTATTCAAAGAACTTCTATTGAAATCGAATTAAAAATATTATAAAAAATTTATTAACCACTATAATTACGGTCAATGGTTGATTCCTTAGTCAATTACTTGATACATTCATATTTGATTAAATATGATTTTCAATTAAATAATGATTTTATATAAAATGATTTTATAATGATTTTATATAAAATGATTTTATATAAAATGATTTTATAATGATTTTATATATAATAAAATGATTTTATATATTTATATAAGATTAATATACATTATAATATTAGATTTTTATTTTTTGTTATAAAATCAATCATACATTATAATGTTAGATTTTACATATACAGATTTTGATCAATAAGTCATGCATCCCATCTTATATCTTATATAAATATATAACTAAAACTTTTGGTTAAAAAAGGGAAAAATCCAATGTGGATAAGCTATTTTTTTTAATATGTCAATTATTTTGGATAATCGCAATGTATCTTGCATTTAATTATTTTGACTTGACTTCATAGGCATTTTATTAATTTAAAAAATACTTATTTGGCTAAATTAGGTTATTTATTTTCTTATAAATATCTAATATTCTTACCTTTTATAAATGTGTTACAATTAAATTATCTTAAATCATTTTCAACCAAATTCAATTCTTAATTTAAAATATCAAACATGTATACTATAAATAAGAAATCATTATATATGTATAAAACTCAAATATTTTGTAATAAATGTCAAGTAATTTTTACATAAATTATAAATTTATACATCTTAATTTTATTACATAAAACACAATAAACTTTTTATTATCTAATATTTATTTGGATTATTAACTTTTAACTTTCTCGTATTCATTAATTTTAAAATCATTATTTTTAAATTGTACTAATCAACTCTTTAATTTTATAACATTTATATTTATATTTTTTATTTTCTTGTGACTTATAATCTTTTATCTCTTTTATGAGTGAGAGTTATATGAATGTCTTTCATGTCTTTACTACACTTTTTTCTTCCAATTATTATTTGTCATATTACTTTGATTATTAACTTTTGATTTTCTTGTATTCATTTTATTTAAAACCATTATTTGTTAAAATTTATTGATCAAACTTTTGATTTTGTAACATTTATACTTTATACTTTAAATTTTCTTATGATTTATGGTTTTTTATTTGTTTTAGGGGTGAGAGTTATATGAGATATTTTATGTCTCTTTTACACTTTTTTTCCCAATTCCTATTTGTTATATTATTTGGATTATTGACTTTTGATTTTTTTGTATTCATTTTCTTTAAAACCATTATTTTTTAAAATGTATTGATCAAATCTTTAATTTTGCAATGTTTATATTTTTGTCTTTTGATTTTCTTATGACTTATGGCTTTTCATCTTTTTTAAGAATGAGAGGTTATGCCTCCATTACTCTCTCTTCTCTCAATTCTT